GACCCAGCACCTCCACTAGGGATTTCCCAAGAGAAACAAAGTATGCCCACACAAACACCTGAACATAAGGGTCCATCACAGCAGGACTGCAGTGGCGGTAAATGGAGGCCACGGTGGGATGTTATCCAGTCAGATGCAGGGATAGAGCTCTGACACACGCAGCATCATGACCTTGAGCACATGACAAGCCAGACACAGAAAGCCACAGAGCATGAGTCTATGTACATGAAATGTCTAGAATAAGCAAACCCATGGAGGCAGAGGGGAGATTAGCGGTTGCTGGAGGCTGGGAGGAGTGGGGTGGTGGTGGAATGTTCTAGAACTGATCATGATTGCACAGCTGTGTGAACATACTAAAACCCACAGAACTTTACACTTTGAAAGAATGACTTATGTGGTACATGAATTTTATCTGAAAAAAAGAAAAAAGTTCTTGCCCTGTAGGCTGCTGTGGACAGTGAGAGTCTGTGCCTCAGCCTCTGCCAACAAGGCTGCCTGCTCTAGCACCAGACGGGCAGCCTGGCTTCTAGCCCATGCAGCCACCATCTCAGCTATCAGCACTCCACCATTCTGCCCCCGAGGTGCCCAATAGGCATATCCAGGGCCTGCAGAGAGGCCTGTTTACACACAGCCAAGGCTACCTTGGCCAGGAGGCCCTGAGGGATGTGGAAAATGCCTCTCAGGGGTGCTCCCAACGGTCGAATTCTGCAGGCACTGCGGTGCGGGTCGGGGCCTCAATGGCGGCTCATGAATGTGGACTCTGTTAGGCAGCTGGCTGGGATGCCAGCCCCGGAGCAGCCAAAGACAGGGCAGATGCTGTGAAAGGCGGCCAGGGGACGGAATGTCCCCCATCCTGCGACTAACATGGGTACCAGCAGGAGGGGCCAGCATGGGAGGGGAGTTGTCTTTGCCTGTCCCCTGGGCGGCATCCCTACCAAGCTCACACGCCTGGCCATTTACCATAGCTCTCACCTGTCAGTCACATTTGCCTGCTTGGCCACTCTGGGGCCTGAGTCAGAGAGAGTGGTTAGGCAGAGTGGCCTTCTATCCCTGGCCACTTTGTCATGGAGATCTTGGCTCTGAGTCTTGCACTCTGCAGGGCCATAGATGGGGGACTTGGCCCTGGGCTCTGAGGCTCCCAAGTCCTCTGCTTTGGAAGAAGCAGGACTTGGGGTCATGGTCACCTGGAAGAGAGAACCTTGACTCTCAGCTTCCAGATGACAGTGGCCCCTCCTCCTTCAAGTGCTGGGTGATGGGGAAGACTGGGTGGGAGAGGACTGGGATGGCTGGGCATTGGGTGTATGGCCAGTGTCCCCAGAGAAGCCTCTCCTTCTGACCTCCACCTCAGCCTCTCCACGATCATAAACAGATCTTAGTTTGGGCGTTGCCTCCCCAGTACTGGCTCCATTTAAACAACAGTGTAATTCCCAGAGACCACTTCAATCTGGCCAGGCTGGACGCCAGAAACCTATAGTTTGAAGCCGGGTCACAATCCCCAGCTCTGCTCAGCCAGGGCTGCTGATCTCACTTGCTAGAGGCCAGACTCAGCACAAACCACTGCAGCAGCAGCACCAGCAGCAAGGGGTGGGCCCTGGCTCTCAAGACCATCTGGAGGCAGGAACACTCAGTGCCGACCAAAGCCAGGCCTGTTGGCACCTCAGGATGGGTCCTAGCAGCCTTGCAGCCCCCACTTCTGCCCATGCCACAGGGGAGGGACATATACCAGAAGATGGTACCTGAGGAGGGAACCCTAAGTTGGAAATGATGGCGGCCTTGGTACTTTGGGCCTCTGGGGAGAGAGGTCATCTTCCAGGGTGCACACATGACTGGGTTGCGTGTAATCCTTGGAAACAGGCCACACATAGCACACACATCATAACTGAGGCCAACGTGGGTGCTTTGGTCTATAATGCGAGATGCTCCCCTGCGTGGACATAGACCTCAGGTGTGTGGAGTCTTGGTGAGCAGTGAACAAGCATTTCATCTGCACTGACCTACCTTTCTACCATGGGAAATGGTGGGTTGTTGGGCGACTTTATGATGGGACTGAAGGACAGCACTGGCCAGTTTCTGCTACCCCTAGTCACAGTGCCCAGGGCTAAAGAGCAGCATAAACTAGGAGAGGAGAGGACACAGCCAGGGTCTGCAGAAAGGTCCTGGTAACTAACTAACTGCAGAGTCACCTTACCTAGACGCAGGACCCAGAGCTCATCTGGTATCCTCCTCCTGCCATGCTTGGGGTCAGTCTGTGGGACATAGGGGTCAACGTCACACAGAATGGAGTTGGTTGATCTGGGGTCGGCGGGCGGGGAGTCAGTCATGTGCTGACAGAGCACAGTGCTATTTGGAGATGGGCTGGACCATGCTGGGAGGGTTGTTCTGATGGGGGAAGGGACATGGCCTCAAGTTGAAACCGATGCTCCGGTGGTGGCCAGTGAGGACAGGACAGGATGAGAGATGTCCCAGGTCAGAGGTGGGAAGAGAAGTGATTGGCCTGGGCCTGGACCCCAGGATGGGTGTAGGAGGGAGTAGGCCACACTAGGGTGGACAGGAGCAGGCTGTGTCCAGTGTGTCCCAGTCCCCTGACTCCATGGAGACCTTCCTTTGGAGCCTCACACCGCACAACCCTCCCAGCTTTCTGATATGCAGGCCCAGAGAGGGTTGGTGACCTGCCCAAGGCTACATGGCTCTGACATAAATGTTCCCACGGCTGCTCTCATCCAGACACGCCCCACTTCCCTACCAATTCCCCTGCTTTCAACTCTGGACCCGGAAGCAGACAGAGAAACAGAATTCTTCCTAAGGAGTGTGGGTAGGGGCCAAAGCCTTGACTTCAGATGAGCTTTGGAGAGGTGTGTGGCAGGCCTCTGCTCCCAGGCCACCCTGGTGCTCAGCAAGGGTGAGGGGTACACATAAACCCAGGATGTGTTTCCCAGGGGTGGGTAGAAGAATGTTGCCTGGCCTGCAGTGCTTAGTCAGAAAAGGCACACACCCCAAAGATTTGGTGGGAAGTGACACAGTCTCTTAACTTCTCCAAAGGCTTGATGTATGAGTTAGCTTAATGTGCTACCTGTCACTCAGGAAGACAGATGGGAGCTCTGGGCTGACAGGTACCGATGCCATGAAGGGATGGGGGGGGGCGCCCACATACAAACAGCTAATGACCTGAAGGGCAGGGTCTGGTGGAGACCAGAGCACTGATGAGGGGTGCAAGTTCATGACCTCTAAGTCCCCTTTGACCTGGAAATCCTGGGATATGATGGTCTCTATACTGCCCTGGGCGACAGCCAGCCTGTAGTCCACTCACTGGCCACATGGCTCTCACTGTGTTTCCCAGGCTGAACCTCCCACAGGCCCCAGACACAAGCACACCCCTTCCCATTCTTTGCAGCTCTGTCCCAGCTGCCTGGGACCAGCCGGGCAAGGCACATGGCACACAATGCCGGCCCCTCCCTGGTCACATTTTCAGAGGCCGTCTTTCCCAGAGGGGGACTGCCCTAGCCCACCCTCCCCGACCAGCCCTGTTAAAACTTTCCCATCACCACATGTGTCCTATTATTTTCTGCACTGCGATCTTGGTTGCCTCGGGGACACCTGGGACAGTGCAAGATACAGCGGCAGCAACCTCTGTCCCTCTAGTAGGCAGAACTGGATCAGAGTCCCTCTTGGCAGGACGGAGGGCTCTGTCTGCACCTCTGCTGTTTTCCAGCTGTGCAGCACGGGCCACTCTCACCAGTTTTTTCATCTAGAGCTTGGGGTTCCACCCATCTCATGACTGAGGACTAAATGCAGTAACACGTGGCACAGTCCCCGCAAGGCCCGGTCAACAGAATCGGTACAGGAGCAATCAACGGCCTCAGCCAGTGCGAGTCCCATTCGGCAGCCCAGCTGCCCCCGGCATCCACTGTCCCCTGTGGACGCCGTTCTCCACCGGGGGCTCAGGGTGCAGGACAGGGTTTGGGTGGCCACTGGAAGTCCCGGTGAGCCCCGCTAGCCTTCCTTTCCGGCCACTGCCGCGAGGGGCGCAGTGTCCCCGCCGTCCTCTAAGCTTAACTCCGTGGACTCCGCCGGCGGAGCTGCCCCGAGGCACAGGGTGGGTGGGGGCGCCGAGAGGCCTCTTGGCATAAGCGACAGCGTGGTCACCCTCAGGTCCCCCAGCGGGACCCACCCGCCCGGCGCTGACACCCGCGGCGTTGGAGCTCGGGGGCCCGGAGCAGGAGACGGCGGGATCCGCAACGAACTGCTCCGAAGCGCAATGAATGAGCGGGCGCGTCGCCTCCCGCAGCCCCGCGGCTCCCACTACCCCCGGCACCAGCGACACTCCAGCGGCGCTTCGCAAGGCGCCACCGCAGCGGCCACCGCGCGGGGCCCCAGCCGGGCCTCCTGGAGCCCGGAGCCCGGCACGCGCAGC